ACTGAAATGTTTTTTTCGGACTTCTTAAGTTCTTCGGGGAGGCTAACCACAATCAGATAGATTCACTTGGTAAAAGAACCTCCAGATATCCTCAGTTAAAGTCTTATTGGTCTTTTGATTTTCAGGCGACTCCAACCGAAGTGCTCGTCTGGGACGCAAACAACGGCAGAAAATCGGTTATGCCTAGAAATACTAATTTTACACAAAATAGGGATTCAGTTGATTTACCACCCAAGCAAATATTTGTGAAGCATGTGACAGGTGACTGAGATTCTAATAATTTAAGGTAGGAAAGCTATAGTACGGAGGGTTCTAATTCCCAGTTATAAACGAGAAACAATGGTGTCGTTGGAAACGGCAGCCGACGGTACATGACGCCGTTTGCGATCCGGTGTGACTTATGCTCTGAACATTTACTCGTTGTCAAGACTATTAAAATTCGAATAAAAGGATGATAGGTGGAGTAATTATGACCTACCCTTGAGGATCCAGTAATGACAAATGTTTGAGCCGCTTTCAATGTGATATGGTGTTGACCTTGGGGAGATATATGTTCAGAATTTGTAGAATTTGCAGGCGGTGAAGACGATAACTCGACGGCCTGAAATGCATAGAATTGAGAAATGAAGAGTGATACGGAATTGCGCACTTGGCATTTTAGTAAACGAACGAAGCATATGATTTTTAAGCAACGTTATGCATACGACGCTTAAGGTGTGAGGACGCTTGGAGGCAGGAATCACTGGTTGGCAGTTCGACTGCCAAATTCAATGGTTCACATAGAGTGCTTCAGAGCAGACTGATAGCAAACGTGGTGACTTGCGCGTGAGTCATCTTTAAGTAATAGTAGACTTGTTTTGCATATACTACTACACTCTCTCTTCCCTCACCCGTCAGTGCCCGGTGTCAAGACAGAGTCAAGAAAACCAGCAACAGGATCGAGTGCAGGAGGCTGGTGTGGCGCAAGCCTGCACCTAGGCGTGTAACCCCTTCCTCCCCCGTTCGGCCTTTGTTATGGGAGCGCAATCCGAATAACGCCTGCCCTGGCGTGATCTAGCTGCCGTGTTGGTCCAGTGCGACTGGTTTAGGGAGCACAGCATCACTGGTGGATATTAACGCAATAACAGTGGAATTTGCCAACGCGAGCATCTGAACCTGGGTCAATTTTTGCTACAGCCTTCACCTACGAAATATGTGGATGAATAGTCGGACCTCCAGTTTTCTAACGAAAGATACGAAGTAAATAATTCCATTCAGCCCGAAGAGCGGAAAACTAGACAAAAAGGTTTCAGAGGCGAAAATACAGGATATGGTTTCCAACAGGCTTTAGTACGCAATTGAAATATTTCACTTTATTTGGCGTTACATTAACTTGCAAATTGGGAAAGAAATCTTGTCGGGGAAGAGGCAAACAACCTCTACGAAGATTCTTAGGGTTTAAAGTTAACCGCCGGGGGTGGGTGAACACTACTCACGAGACTAGAATTACCGTTGGGCTCTCTCGCTTTTCATCACAAAAACCAACTGCATAACGGCAATTACCTTCTTTAAAAAAAAAACGCTTAGCATACAATAGACTACTGTGCGACAGATAGAGAATTCCAAAGAGCGCTGAAGGTCTGTGGGTATGTACGTTTAATTTAAACGAGACAAGTACTTGTAAAGGGAAATACGTAGACGTACAAAGTCCCGCAAGCAGAGCTCAATGGGCAACTCATTTTTGAAGATGACCTCGATGTAACCGACATCGTTGCACACCAAGTCGATGAATTCTACAAGTAAACGCAAACAGTAAGAAGGAAGATCAGGTCCGTTTTCACCAGGATTATATTATAGACAGAAGCGAAAATTACAAATTAGATGAGCAGAACAGGAGAATATTGTAGGGGGAGAGAAAGAATGAATACTTTAAATGCAAGATTCAGTCGAAGCTACGGACGCTTGAAGTCGATTCTACTCGGGCCGGG